CTTCACTCTGTATGTGGCTTCAGCGGCCCTGGCTTCACCCCTGGAGCAGCGTACGGCAAAACTGACACTGGTGGATTTGGCGGGCTCGGAGCGGGTGGCGCATACCGGCGCCACTGAGGGTGAGCTGGATGATGTGGAAGGGCTTTAGGGTTTTGGGGTGGTGTGGGCAGGGCGGGGTGGGTGGGGGTGGGGGTTGGGGGTTGGGCAGCGTGTGTGTTTGGAACTAAGGGGGGAGAGGAGGGGAGAGGGGAGGGAGGGGATGTAAGGGGCATTTTGAGGAGGGGCTTCAAAAAGACGTGACACGACACGCAAGGCCTTTGTCGCTTTCATATCGCATTGAGGTGTTGCAGAAGTAATGGTGGCTCTACTGTTCTAGTGTTACTGCTCTCTATATATTTGTTCTGATCATTTACTCCAGTCTCTCCCCCTCCCTCTCTCTCCCCCTCCCTCTCTCTCACCCTCCCTTTCTCTCCCCCTTCTCTCTCTCTCCCTCTCTCTCCCCCTTCTCTTTTTTTCTCTCTCTCTTTTCCATGTTTCCATGTATGTATGTATGTGTGCTTCACTTTCCCCTCATACTCCGCAACCTACCACACCGCCCTTCCACCTCCTCACCACAGCACCCTTCACCCCCCTCTTTACTTAACCTCATGACCCGCTGGTCCCCGGGGCGTACGACACCCGTACGACACCCGTTAGGTGCCCTCCGGGACGAGAGTGTCGCCATCAACAAGTCCCTCTTCACCCTCCGACAAGTCATCACCGCGCTAACAGACGCCGCCACGGCAGCGACCGCGGCGGCGGCGACGCCGCCGCCGCCGCACGTGCCGTACCGAGATTCCAAGCTGACGTGTCTTCTGAAGCCCTCGTTGGGGGGCAGTAGTTTGACGCTGATGGTGGCGTGCCTGTCGCCCGCGGACAGGTTCCTGGAGGAGAATGCGAGCACGCTTGACTACGCGGCCAGGGCGAGGAAGATAACCAATCAGGTGGGGATATGTATGTATGTATGTATGTATGTGTGTATATATGACTTAGATTACACTGTGGGCCGCGAGAGCCGGGGGCCGAAGCCGAAACACAGCGCAAGGGTCGGGAGCACACAGCACAAGTCGGTTAGTCTTGTGTGCTCCCGACCCCGACTCAGACTGCCAACACTCTACGCAGCCACTCCGCTGCCCCTCCATCCGGGGATGGCGCTGCAGTGAAGATACGGCGGGGTCCCGCCTAACCACCCCCCCAAGACTCAGTTAGGGTTTTAGGACTCTCTGAAGTCCTCTCCCACTCCGCCCACTCAAAAGAGAAACCCGGAGAGGAGACCGGCGGGGCGTCCCCGCCGGGGGGAGGTCCACAGGGCCGCAGCAACACGGAACACATACTGGCCTCCAAAAGAAGGAAAAGGCGCTAAAGAGAGCCAGAGAGAAACCCCACAAGACGTCAAGACGCAGCCACCTGTAGACTACCGACTTCCTCCACCTCTTCCTCTCTGGGCTGGTCCAGGGGAGATGCAACCAGTCATCAACCAACAGCGTACCAGGCCAAAAACACTGCTAAGCCAGGGGTTGCAGACGAAATGTATGTATGTTGTTACAGGGTGGTTAACTTCGCCAGCGGCCCCCTTTCCCGAGGCAGTCCCTGCTCTCCCCTGCTAGAGGGGCACCCTAATCCTGTCAGACGAAATGTATGTATGTATGTTTGTTTGTATATATGTACATAATACATACATACATACATCATGCGCAGGTGGTGGTGAATGAGGATCCCCGCAGTCGCCAGATTCGGGAGCTACGAGCCGAGGTGGCCTTCCTGAGGCAGCAGCTGGAGGCGGCGGCGGCGGCGGCGGCGGGAACAGCGGTGATGCCGCCGGCGCTGCAGCAGCTGCAATTGCCGCCGCCACTGCCGCTGCCACCGGCGCTGGCAGCGGCCGCCGCTGCCGCCGCGGGCGCCTCCGGCGCCGCCGCTGCCTCAGACACGACGGCGGCGGCAGCGGCAGCTGCCGCCGCCGCCGCCGCTGCCGCTGCCGCTGGCGGCGATACGGAGGCCGAGGCGTATGCTGTTGCAGCCCGGCTGCGATCTTCCGACGTTGAGGTGTTGGTTCGGGCGGTCATTGACGCCAGCAGAGTCGCGATGACGTCGACGGCGGCGTTGGCCAGTTTACGTGCCGCTTACGCGCGCACGTCTGCTTCCCTGGAGTCCCTGCGCGTCGAGTACGACACCTTGGCGTCGGAAGACGCGCGCCTGCGCGACCGGTTGTCACTGCTGGAAGCGCTTGTAGTGACGGAAGCCGGCAGCGGTCCGCGGTACAAGGACCTGTCGGCGGAGGACCTCGCTGCCGGCGGCGGCGACGCCGCTGCCGCTGCAGCGCCGCTGTACACGGCCTCCACCGCCGCCCTCATCGAGTTGGAGGAGCTCCGTCGGGAGAATGCGTTGCTACATGAGCGGCTACAGCTTTTGGAGCCGGAGATAGGGCCCGCGGGGATGGCCCGCGGGTCGGGGGGTCAGCGGCCCTTTACTGCCGCCGCCGCCGCCGCCTGGAGTGGGGCCGGCGGCAGCGGCAGCGGCAGCGGCGGCGTCCCTGTGCGTGGCGGCGGCGGAGGTTTTACGGCCGAGCACTACAAATAGTAGCAGCAGCAATAATAGCAGCGGCGGCGGCGCAGGACGGGGAGCGGCGGGGGCCGTCGTTGGCTCTCGGCGACCTGGGGAGCAACGTGCACAGTCCGCAGGGGCGCTACTGCCGTCCGCCGGTAGCGGCCGGCGGTCGACGGCGTCTCACGTTAGCGGCGGGGCCGCGGCGGCGGCGGCGGCG